AAGAGCTCAAACTGCACACGGTGGCTTGAACTGGTTGTGTTGGTGGCTCAGGTGGCTTCAGTGAAGAACTGGTCGGGTCGAGACCCTCAGAGCAAAGGGAAGGGAGGGGGAAGGAGCAATTTGTGGGAGCCACTTGTAGAGCCAGGGATGTGTCCGATGGGAGCGGCTCCTGGGAGCGCCCTGGGCCGCTCAGCCCGGCCGGGAGGCTCCGGGGCCGGCGAGAGCCGCTCCCGCAGATCCGATCCCTCCAGGCCTGGAGCTCCCAGGCAGCTCCGTGTTTGGCTTTCCATTCAATATTCCTCGGCTTCGGTCTCCAAGGCTACACGCCAACATCCAACCCCTCCTCCCACTCCTGTTTTCAAAGAAAGAAAAACACTGTGAAAAGAGGCTGCAGCGATTTCTGGGCAGTTTTCAAAGCGGAGAGGCAGCGCTGGGAGCTGCTCTCCCCGCACGCTCCTGGGGCTCTGATCCAGCCTGGGCCGTGATTCCCCCGCTGCTCCATCCTCAGGATGCAGGGAAGCACCCCCAGCTCGGCAAGCGCAGGGTATGGGGGAGCAATTATAAGTTTTTAAGGCAAAAATGGGAGTTTGGAGTAGATAACTACGCGGAGCTTCATTCAAATCCTTCTGCAAAAGCTGGTTTTGTCTGGGAAATCCATAGCGGGGAAGGAGCTGGGGGCTCCTGAGCTGGCCCCACCGCCTGGAGGAGCGTGTGGGGCTGCTGCCCTCGGCTTTGAGAGCTCTGGGGGCTCTCGTTCATTTCTCTTCCCTTGCTTAGGGGATAATCTGCTTTTAGCGGCCGGACACTGCCCTGTTCCAGCACGGACAGCAGGACAGCCCTGGGTGCCGAACCAGAGTCCAGCTGCCCCAGCTGCTGTCACAGCCACGACCCCACAGTGCCAAAGAAATGGGAGATCCAGGGCACAGCTGGGTGTGTGTGCAGGGGAGGAAGAGGAGGGTGAAGAGAAGGAAAAAGAGAAGGAGCAAGGAAGATGAGGAGGAAGAAGAGGAGAAAGGCAGCACCCAGTAGCTCTCTGCAGTGCGATCTGACACCAGGCTTGCTGGATGCTGTGACAGAAATACCTGCAAAAAAAACAGAGTTAAATCTGCTTTCTGCTGCTGTAATTATATCGCTTCATTCCAGTTAGAAAATATAAGATACATCTCAAATTCTATGGGTTTTTTTTTTAAATTTAGTTTTGTTTGAGACTTTTGTCCCAACGCAATGTTCAAAGTGCTCTCTGTGCGTGAGGAAGGGTTTCAGTCAGGTTCTCCCTGCCTACACCCCCGGTGAACTCGATCCAGCGTTTGATTTCCGTGTCACACCATCCGCATTCCTGCGGCGAGCAACCAGCCCGCTGCAAACATCCACCCCGGGGGCCGGGAGGAGGGTGGCGCTGCCCGGTCCCCTCGGGGACAGGCTGGGACAGGAGCGCTGGCCCGGGAGCGCAGCAATCCCCGGCATCTCGGGCAAACGCAGCAGCCCCAGGGCACGGAGCGGGCTTTCTCCGAGGGTTTTAGGCAGGGTTATTTTAGTCCTGAGCTGACTCACACTTATCCCGCTGTGACTCACGGGGGGCCCGGGGCCGGTTAGGGATGTGGCTCGGCACGGCACACTTGGTACACTTGGCACACTTGGCACACTTGGCACACTTGGCACTTTTGGCACTCCTGGCACTCTTGGCACTCTTGGCACTCTTGGCACACTTGGCACTCTTGGCACTCTTGGCACTCTTGGCACTCCTGGCACACTTGGCACTCTTGGCACACTTGGCACTCTTGGCACTCTTGGCACTCTTGGCACACTTGGCACTCCTGGCACTCTTGGCACTCCTGGCACTCTTGGCACACTTGGCACTCTTGGCACTCCTGGCACACTTGGCACACTTGGCACACGCGGCTTTCCCCACTCAGCCCCGCACAGGGAGCGGCCGTGCCGGACCCGAGGCTCTGGGAATCGCCTTTCCCGTCCCCTCCGCAGGTGCAGCATCACCGGGAGCGCCCTGGCACCAACGTTTTATGGGAAAGTTTGATTAAATAAAAGATTCCCGAGGCTCGGGTGTTGAAAGGGAGGCTCAGCCCGTGCCGAGCCGCTCACCCCTGGCTCCCGGGAGCTGCTCACTCGCAGCTCAAGCTTTGTTGCACTCATGCTTTGAGCCCCAGCTCCTGGTCCTGCAGATCATCCACCACGGACAGAAAAAGTCGTGCGGACTCTGCTCGCGCTTGGAATCAGCTCTCCTATGGCCCGAGCAGCCTGGAGAACATCGCTTTTTCAGCATCGCTTTCCAACAAACAGCAAATCCTACAGATTTCTTCTTGGCACCGAGCGAAGCATTTTTACAGCGATTGGTTTTCTCGGTGAGATTCAGAGAAAGGCTGAAAGGCTGCTCCCGCTTCCAGGAATCCCGGCGAGCACAGGTCGTTCCCTGTCGGGACAATGCTGCGCAGGCACTGCCCGCATCCCACCCCTGCCCGCCCCCACCCCGGGGGAAGCCCTTTCCTGCCTGCAGCCACGGCTCGGAGGGGGACAGGAGGGGAGGTCCCGCGAGTGGCAGAGGGTGACGGTGCCTCTCCACGGGCGGTGGGTGCGTG